CTCCCCTCCCCATACTGTGGGATTCCCTAGGCAGTGCGGGGGGGGAGCTGGGGGGGCGCTTCCTGCCTTCTTACTCCTGGGGGGCTCCGGCCAGGCTCCCCCCGAGGCCCCCAGGCAGCCTCTCTCCCGGGCGGGGGTGGGAGCAGGGGAGGAGAAGGGCGGGGGGAGGTGAGAGCAGCCTTCCCATATCTGGGGGGGGGCGCCCCGAAGAGGAGGGGGCCCAGCTCTTCCCCGAAGCCCCCCCTGAAGGCGGGAGGAGCAGCGAGGGAGGGAGGCTGGCCGGGGAAGGAAGGAGGAATCTCCTGACAGGGAGAACTGTTAACCCGTGGAACTACCTGCCTCCAGAAGCTGTGAATGCTCCAACACTGGAAGTTTTTAAGAAGAGACTGACTGGGCAGCTATTTGTCTGAAATGGTATAGGGTCTCCTGCCTGAACAGGGGGTTGGACTACATGACCTCCAAGGTCCCTTCCAACTCTATTACTACTACTATTATTAATAATAATTAGTTTTTATTAATAATAATAATAATAATATTCTACAAGGTCCATTCCACTCTATCATCTCATGGACGCTCCTGCCTTTCTTTGGTTTTGGCTCTTCAGAGCTTCTTCCCCTCCCTTCACTCACTCTGCATTCACACCGGAAGCTCTTCGCGCATGTGGGGGAAAAGGAGGATATGCAATTATATGTATTGTTTGACTTTAAATATTTGTATTCATCTCATGCTTTTCCCAAATGTTTTCTTTGGGTTTTTTTCTCTCCTGTTCTGCCCTGCCAAAGAGGAAGGAGGAAAGTAGGGAGGATGAAGGAGATGAGATGGTGCCCTAAACTGGCCTTAAGGACCACCTTTCCCAGCCTCTCGGGGTGCTTTGGGCTGGGGTAGATTTGGGGTGCCGTATAACATCTAATGCTGCTCCCCCTTTGGGGGCTTCTTTGAGTGAAGAATCCATCCACGTCCTGAGGTTGGGATGTGTCTCTCTTCCTCAATCTTGACTCTTCCATCGTACGCCAGAGAGATTGAAGTTTCTGCGCAACACATTTGCAAATTAGCTCCCCCCAACTTACCCATCCATTTCAATGGGCATCTGTAATCACCCACCTTCTGAGACTTTGGAAAAAGTGCAAAGGAGAGCAAGGAAGATACTTAAAGGCCTGGAGACTAAAACATATGAAGAAAGGTTGCAAAATTTGGGTTTGGCTGGAGCACAGGTGTCAAACTTGTGATCTCCTTTGATGTGTTGTGACTTTTTTCCCATTGCTGGCAATGGGGTGGGAGCAGTTTTGGCGTGACGCATCCAGCCCGTGGGCCGTCACTTTGACATGCCTGGTATATTAGGGCTCCTGCTTGAGTAGGGAGCTGGACTAGGAGACCTTCAAGGTCCCTTCCAGCTCTATTCTAAATTTGAATTTGCCTTCACTAACAATGTCAGCTCTGAACTGTTCCCAGGAACTCATTCCAGCTTCAGCAGCTGAAGCACCAAACCCTGAAGAAGACAAAGGGGGGGGGGCAAAGGACGTCATGCCCACCTTTTCCCCTCCAAGTCAAGAACCAGTCCAAGTTATCAGCAGTCAAATGATGGTTATTGCACCCCGAGCAATTCACTATCATAGCTCTATGATGGTAAGCCAGCTTGGAAGTGCTTTTTGCAGACCGTGTCCCACATCCCTGAAAGAGAAGCGAGCATCCACTCAGGGATGTTTCAAAGTGGTTCTCTGGGATATCCAAGGGCAGGGAATTGGGGGGAGGTGCCCATTTATTTTGAAATGACTTCTTTTATTAAATTTGGGAGCAGCTCAACTCCCAAAGACTCTGGGTGCTTTACAAAAGAGAAGAATAAAAGGGGAAAAGAACGTGAACACCTGGGAAAAACACTTACTGCATTGCACACCAAAGCTCCCTGTTTGACACCTGCTTGACACCCCCCCCAGCCCAGGAGCAAAGCCCCCTCCTCAAAGAGTTATGTGACATTTGTTGGGTGAGGCACAGAAATCTCTGGGTGATGCTGTTAGAGAGGGGAGGGGTCTGCAGCTCTCTAGGGGGCAACATGTAAGCAATGGGCCATCGCTGCCTTTCCAATTCCAGTACATAAGTTTACTTACTCCTGAATGTTTGGGCTGAGAATACAATATATACTCATGTTGACACACAAAGGTTGAGATGGCAATGAAGGGTGAGAGTTCGCACTACTGAGTTGTACTTAGGTCTATGATAAAAATTCAAGTAGCTTCTTAGTGCATTATTGCAGGCAGACTGTCCACAGTCTGGAGTTTGATTCTGACAGCGCTCAAGCCTTGACTGAGGATGGTAAAAGGGGGACCCAGATTGTTAGCGGCAATATGCAAATAATGTTTACCTTGGAAATCTCCCAGAGTGCGCTGTAATGCACTATGGGGCGGCATATAAGCCTAAATGCTATTGTTATTTCAGTGGCACCGTTGTGACTGCAGGCATATTTAGCGTTTTTTCCCCCATGTGAATTCTTTGATGTCGATAGAGGTGTCCACAAACAATAAAGCTCTTTCCACACTCAAGGTATTTGTATTGTTTTTCTCCCGAGTGGATTGATGCTGACAAAGACTTCTCTTCCCACAGAAACCCTTTCCACGCTCCAGGCATTTATATGGTTTCTCTCCTGAGTGGCTCCTTTGATGTGTATAAAGGTTTCCCCTCTCACTCAAGCTCTTTCCACATTCCAGGCATTTAAATGGTTTCTCTCCTGTGTGGATCCTTTGATGTGTATAAAGGTTGCTACAGCTACTTCCACACTCAGACATTTATATGCTTTTTCTCCTCTGTGAATGCTTTGATGTTTACGGAGACCTTGACTTTCAGTAAAGCTCTTTCCACACTGGAGGCATTTACAGATAGTCCCCCAGGTACGAGAGTTCATTTAGCCAGTTTTCACAAAAACAAATTAATTAAATTTATTCAGGAAGGGTACTTACATTAGAAATTCAGAATTGCAATCAAAAAGGTCTGTCTAGCCATGTGACTTGGTTTCAGTCTCTACTGCAATGGCAGCCATTTTTATCTCTCCGACTTTCCTTGGCTGTTTGGGGCTATGAGAAGCTGGCAGAGTTTGGGTTTGTTTTTTTTATCCCTGGCCACATGGCCAAACAAGTGCCGAGCCAGCTCCGGTTTTTGCTTTTGCTAGCTGAAGATGCTTGAGCTGGCTACCAGCCGTTATTTTTTTAAAAAGGTAACTGCAAGGGTTCCAAGCTAAATTGGCATTTATAGGGTTTCTCTGCTTGTGTGGATTCTTTGATGTCTATGAAGGTTTCCCCTCAGACTGAAGCTCTTTCCACACTCTAAGCATTTATGTGGTTTCTCTCCTGAGTGGATCCTTTGATGTGTATAAAGGTTTCCCCTCTGACTGAAGTTCTTTCCACACTCCAGGCATTTATATGGTTTTTTTCCAGGGTGAATTCTTTCATGTATATAAAGGTCTTTCCTCTGACTGAAGCTCTTTCCACACTCCAGGCATTCATACGGTTTCTCTCCTGAATGGATTCTTTGATGTATGTAAAGGTTTCCCCTCTCATTGAAGCTCTTTCCACACTCCAGACATTTATGTGGTTTCTCTCCTGTGTGAATCCTTTCATGTGTATAAAGGCTTTCCCTCCGAGTGAATCTCTTTCCACACTCCAGGC